GTGGGGGCGGCCAAATGTAATCAATAATATTAAATATTTAATATGGCAGGTAAGAAAATTGTGTAAAATGTGTGCAGAGCATTATGTGATGGGCTGCATATGCTTCAAATATTTAAATGTCTTTTATGGTATCAAATTAATAATTTTAAAATTTTTTAAAAATGTATTTTGCATAAATATTAACCATAGGCAAAATTACCTGTGCAGCTGGCACTGGCACCTGCACTGCTCTGCCCCAGTTGGCATCCAACTCGGCAATGCGTTCCACATGCAACAACTATGTTGCGCTCTTTGGCGACTCTCTGCAGCCTTCGTTGAGTTGCGCGCTAGGCCCAACGGCACACACAGGTGCACGCGCTAACGACTGCCTCGCTCTTTTTTTGGCTCGCACCTACACACAGACACATAGACACACGCACCCATACAGAAATGCGAGTGTTACATGACATGCTCTTCTTTGGCTCCTCACACGCTCTCTTTCCTGCTCTTTCGCGCGCGCTCTGCTTTGGCAGCAGGAAACGTCGCAAGGAAATGGCAAAATGTTCAACGTCCATTCGCATTCGCATGTGTGCGAGCAACTGTAACTATATGTGTGTGCGTGTGCGTGTGTGTGTGTTTGTGCCTGTGGATGACATTGCGGCGCTCGTTGGGGCAGCGCCAGTTGTCGGCTAACGGTAGTCGTTGCGAAACTTTTGCTGGAGTAACGTGTCGCGCAATTGAAATTGGCGGCGTTTTCATCGTCCAGCGCCAGCGTCGTCTCCAGTTCACGTACTCGCGAGTTTTCAAACGTGTTCGTGTGACTGTCAGCTTGTGTGTGTGTGAGTGAGTCTGCGTGCGTGTGTGTGTGGGGGCTGCCAATTAGTGTGTTACATTTGTGCAACAGTCTCGTGTGCGTGTGCGCGTGTGCGTGCGTTCGTGTCTGTGTGTGTGTGTGCCCCATGCTGCACGTGTGTGCGTGGGGCGCCGCCGTCGCGAGAGCAACAAAAATGTATTAAAAAGTTTATAAAAAACATACATTTTGAAGAGCTTAACTACTCCTAAAAAACATATATATATATAGATATATATATATATATATATATAGCATACAGACTTTATATCGATATCGGCACATATATATTTAAATGAAGCTCCAATCGAGAAACCTTTGCTAGGTAAGCTTAACCCGAAAAAAAAAACAAACTTGTAACGAGCTTTTAATTCACTTTGCCAGCCAGCCAAAGCCAACGTCTTCCTCTTATTTTGGGGGAGTCCCCAAGTTTTTGGAATTTTTGTTGTTGTATTTATTTGTTCTCCTTTTTGTTTATTTATCCGCTCTGGCAGCCCCGAAAACTTTATCTAAATTCAATTTTGACCGTGCCGCTGAAATTGCCACCCAGAGAAATGAACCCGCAACCCGAAACCCGCAACGCACGTTTATGGTCATTTAACTGAATTAGATAAGTTAAACGATGTCTAATGTCAATTTGATTATGTGAGAATCAAACTCGTGGGTGGAAGCGACTGTTCCCTTTTCAATTGAATTGATGTAAAGTGTAGCAAAAATTCGGATTAAATCTAAAATTCAATTGCGACAAATTTGAAGTCAGCTCGAAGTCAGTTATGTAATTATTTAAGGGTATTTGGTATAGTTAAAAACATTCTTAAAAAGGAAACTTTTAGTAGATGTTTTAGTTTGCCTTTACGCGTTCTCGTCTCACGGCTTTCAAGCAAGAGTCCTTTCCCTTTCAAACTTAAACCAATTGCGAATTATAAACATGTCCGCGTTTTTAGAGAAATAAATATCAGAAACCTTCTGGTAGGCAGTTGAACTATGTTTGGAGAATGGATAAGTTTACTTTTGATCCCGAGATTTATGTTATAATTGTTATTAGAAAAGGGTCCATGGGTTCTACTAAAAATATAAGAAAACTCACAGACACTTCCGTATCTTTAAGATCTTTAAGTTTTTCGTAAAAGAAAACGTTTAGAAAGTTCTTTCAAAAAAATAAGTTTAGAATTTGAGATCAAAAGTTAAAAAAGCTAAAAATATATTTAAGCTATCGATAATATTGAATAGGGGTATGTTTAATAGTGTTGTATAATTTATTCTTTATTCTATAATTATTATTCCTATATTTAAACTTTATAGAAGTCGTTATTTTCTATATTGCATCTGATAACTGATCTGATCTGATATGAAATATGTTAAATAGAAATGAATGTGATTATTTATATTTATTCTCCATAAGAGTATATTTTCTATATTTTATCAAAGTATATTAAATATCTTCAATAAAAAGATCATTAATATCACTATTATTATTTGAATATGTAAGGGTTATATATAATTTATACCTATATTATGCAAAAAATATCAGTTATTATTATTATAATAAAAAAAATTAATTAGCACTAGCACGCTGACAATCAAAGGGAAGATCATTCAAGTTGAGCTTTAATAGTTATGGGCTGTAGCTAATCCGAACACCTCACAATCTAATGAGCTCTATTCAGTAGCCATGGCTGAGTCTAGCCTTCGGATCATGCTAATTGATGGCTTAAAAACTTTGACAAATACGAAAAGACAAAATCGAATGAATAGCAAATTGAAAAAAAAAACTGAGCCAGCTGTAAAATGTACAGTCCACAACTGTTGACCCAAGCAAATTAGCGTGAAAATTTCTATTTCTATTTCTATAAAAAAAAGTTGGCTATGAATATTAAAGGCCAGGTTGTGGCAAATGCCAGATATACATAGTTAAGCGGGTTGCGTGGGAAAAAATAAAGAGGAACAAATGTGGCAAGGTCAGCAGCAGACGGCGACACGCCCAAAACTCACGTGAAGCGAAGCAAATGCAGTTGGTTTTAATTAAAAAGAGCAAAAGTGACTTTCGAAATGGCCAAGAGATAAAACTGCAATAACTATAAAGAGCAGTTTAAAATGGAATTGACGATCGACGTTTGGCTCGAAAGGTTGGTTTAAAATGGGCCGGCTCTGGGGTTGGGGACGCACACGCGTCAATTTGTTAAGCGGGTCACGTACTAGACAACCCCATTGGCCAACCCAAGTGCCAACCAGGCCTCTTCCGTTCGCCGCTTTGTGTGTGTCTGCGTGTGTCTGCGTGTGTGTGTGTGTTGTCATCAACACGAAAATAAAAATCGAGAATTAAACTCGCTGAAAATGGCAACAGCTCTTGTTGCCCCGAATGCCGACCCATCTCTCCGCAAATCGATTTCAATAAAGTCGAATTTTTTATGTCGCTCGCTTGCTTTATGGACAAAAACTTTAAAGGCCGTGTCCACGCGCAAATGACGCAACAAATTAAATGTCAATAATTTAAAATAATTACCGAAAAAAGTAAATAAGAGTAAAATGCTTAGCAACAAATCCCAAGGCCAAATGATTTTAAACCAAATTTTTATGGCTTTTTAATCTAATTAAATGGCCATAAAAAGCGAGGCACGCAACAGAAACTGCTCTGAGAATTAAATAAATAAAAGTAAATCAATAAAAAAAAACCTATGCACTTTAAAGTCGGCCATAAACAATTTGATAGGACAACAAAACGAACAAACAGACTACAAAGTTGTCAACGGTCAAGACGAAGGGGTTGGCGGAAGGTTGGGGGAATTGTTACTGCGACTGCGACTGCGACTGCGACTGCGACTGCGACTGCACTTTGTTATTGTCAAATGGGTTAATGAGTGCGTGCGTCTGACGTGAAAGGGTTGCCCGGAGAGTCGGGGCCCGGCATCGGGGGTGCGGCTAAACGGGATCGCAGCACTAATGACCTGCATTTTGCATGTGAGCAGCGAGCCGTTTAAATGGGAGTGCATATGTGATATCATCAAAGGGTTGCAGCGCATGTGGGCTGAGAAAGCAGCCAGCAAAATAAACGTATCTGAAGAACATGCATAAAGGCTTGAGCATGCTCCAATTATGCTATACAAATTCAATAGAAATCTCTGAGTTCAAAGTTCAATTTAACAAATCTGCAATCATTCTAATAAAACATAATAGAATTCTTTTTGCAATCTTATACAAATTGGTGTGTTTAATGTGAGTCTCAAGATAGTTTCGCCTATCACGTCAAGATATTCCCCCAACCAAATTTATAGCTTCTTAAAGTAGTTTACATACTTAAGTTTATATAGTGGGCAGTAAATTTTTAGCAGCGCTTCGCCTACAATTTTATTGCCATTACACGCGCCTCGATATGTGGCTCTGGCGGTTGTATGACCACGTTTCCGTGCTCATCCTTGTAATTCGCATATGCCTCGGACAGCACACATTCCATTCCTAGGGCGGCCATCACACGTGCCGAGTAGAGACTAGTGCAGGTGGCCACCAGCAGGGGCAGACCCTTGGCGCGACCCACTTCCATCAACGCGGTAACCAGACGGCGTCCCAGTCCCTGTCGACGCACCGAGGCATCCACTGCCAGAATGTTCAGATAAAGGGTATCTAGTGAGCCGTAATGCTCAAACCAATGCGCTCTGCGCTCAATGTCGGACAGAAAGTAATGGGTATGTTCAATTAGATTCTTCGGCTTCTGCTCATTGACCTCGAGCCAATTTTGCTCCAGATCGCTGGGCTGCAGTACACCAGCAAAGGCCACGCCCACAAAGCGATCACCCTCTAGGGCAACTAGGGAGGTGCCCTGTCGTATGAGCGACAGGCGATACTCCCTTCGCTTCGGATCATCAAAGATCACCTGGTGATCTCCGGGCGTTTGCATTAGCGGCTCATGCCCATAGAAATGGTCGCGTAAAAAGAGGGTTGCCTCATCGATATCATCCTCTCTCATGGCGCGCAGCACGATAGTCGTCATGTTGCAATCTGTTCAGTTACTAACTCAAAAAACATGCTGAACAGCAGTTCAGCTTTTCGAGAGAGCTTATCGCCAAAAAGCTAGCGATGCGATAATGTCACATATAGACATGCAAACATATATGTATATACGAAGTAAAAACTCAAGCGATAAAGAAATTTAACTGATAAGCTCACAAACAATTTTTACATCAGTCACGTTTTCAAAAATTTGTGAAATAAAATTAAAAAAAATAATAAGTCTCAAAGGAAAGCTAAAATTAACATATACCTATATTTGCTATCACTAGAAAAATGTCTTATAAAGACCCGGATTATATGAGGGCATTTCCTGCAGCTTAATCGCCATGACGCTCGCCTCTGAGTGTGGCTCGGGCGGATGAATCACCACATTGCCATCCTCATCCTTAAAGTCCGCATAGAGTTCCGAGTGCACGCACTCCATGCCCAGCGAGGCCATCAGACGCGTCGAGTAGGCACCTGTGCAGGTGGCTACCATCAGGGGAATTCCCCTGGTGCGTCCCAGCTCCATTAGGGTAACAACCAGACGGCGTGCGATCCCCTGACGACGCATCGTCGAGTCGACGGCCAGAGTTTTCAGATATAGAGCATCCGTAACGTCGTAATGCTCAAAGAACTGAGCGTGTTTCTTGATGTTGCACAGAAAATAATGTATATGTTCGATGAGAAGCTTGGGTTTGCGTTCGTTGACCTCGCTCCAGTTCTGCTCCAGATCGCTGGGATGCATAATACCAGCAAACGCCACGCCCACAATGCGACCGCCATTGCTCTGGTCAACCGCAACCAACGAGGTGCCCTGCCGTACGAGGGAGAGGCGATACTCGCGCTTCTTGGGATCGTCGTAGATCAACGGATGTTCGCCGGGCGTCTGCATCAGGGGCTCATGGCCGTAAAAATGATCACGTATGAAGAGGCTGGCCTCATCGATGTCATCCAATTTCATTTCCCGCACGATCGTCGTCATGTTGCAAGCTACCAGGACTAACTCAATGCAGTTGTAGGGTGACATTACGGTTTTATGGGTATTTCGTAGGTGGCCCATTCAAGTGGGCTTATCGCAAAAAATCAATTAGTTGAACTTGAACTTAAGTTCATAAACTCTCAGAGCTGAGCATTATCATGTGATTGCATCGCGGCTTTGACAAGATAACAAACTGAACTGATAAGACAACACGTTAGAAAATACACGATGAGAGAACTAGACTATGATAAGCCCTGTAACTATCTGATAAAGGTATCTCCAGAATTTCTTGAATTTGTATGAAGTTTATTAATAACATAATTCGAATATTTTCTTAAGAATAGCCTACAATTTTAATGCCATAACGCTGGCCTTTGTATGTGGTGCTTGCGGCTTGAACACCACATTACCATCATCATCTTTATAGTCGCAGTAGAGTTCCGAGTGTACACAGTCCATGCCCAGAGAGGCCATGAGTTGCGTCGAGTAGAGGCCGGTGCAGGTTGCCACCAGCAGGGAATATCCCTTGGCTCGACCCACATCTATTAATGCAGTTACCAGGCGACGGGCCACGCCCTGACGACGGACTGCAGAGTCCACGGCCAGAACTTTCAAATAGAGCACATCCGAAACTCCGTATTGCTCGAAAAATTGAGCGTTTCTCTTAATGTTGATCAGATAGTACTTCACGTGTTCCATGAACTGCGTACGCTTCTCCCTGTTTAATTCCTTCCAATTCTGTTCCAATTGTTTCGCATTCAGAGCTCCAGTATATGCCACGCCCACAATGCGATCATCTTTACTCTGATCAACGGCAACCAACGAAGTGCCCTGTTGAATACACGATTCCTTATACGCTCGTTTATTGGTATCAAGAATTATTTGTTGTTTTTCGGCATAGCTCTGCAAGAGCGGTTCACCAGTGTAGAAATGTTCGCGTAGAAACCGGGTGGCCTCCTCAATATCAGCTGCTTTCATTTCGCGCACGATCGTCGACATCTCGCGAGTCTCAGAGCTTTACTGAGGGCAGTCGGAGAGCTTTGGAAGGTTTTGTAACTTATTAAGTGTGAGCACTTCGGAAGAGCTTAAAATAACTTGAACTTCAGCAACCGTTTGTATCCGGTTTTTGTGACTGACGAACTGACTGACTGACTGACTGATTGACTGACTGACTGACTGACTGATTGACTGACTGACTGTTAGAATGCTTAACAAAGTACAGCCCTGATAACGTGGAAGTAGAGCTGTGAATGTATCGGCTATATCTATAGTATCGATGTTTTTGAGTCAAAAATGTATATCGATTAATCCCGAGGCAGTTTTTATTTCGTATATAAGAAGCTTCCACAAGGTGTCTGAATTTTTCACAGTTTTTTTCCATTTCAAACAAGATTCTAGCGAAGTCTTCCAAGTAAACCCGCGTAATACTTGCCAGTATTACCATATAATTCCACACATAGAATCATCTTTATTGTGCAAAGCTTTCGTGTTCTATATTATACAATTTTATCAATTCCTTTTCATTAGGCAGTCCATTGCATTGTGTTTTGAGCTCAGTTACACGACAAGCGCCAAGCGACGTTGTCATCGCTGAGTTTTCACTTTTTTACACTCTGCCTTAATTGTGTTTGTAATCCAATACAATGTGTTGGGCCATTAAGTATCTTAAAGATACAAATACGCTGACATTGACTTTGCTTCCATGGAGAACAATTACGGCTTGGTCATAAAATGAGCTTGCACATTTGAAGCGGACGGTTTGAAAACAACTGGGCTTAGTTAATCCAGAAAGTGTAATTAAAGTGTTAGTCATAAGACATTAAATTATTAGAAATTGCGAGCTTGAAAATTTAATGATAAAAAGTTGGATTTGTGTAAAATAAATATATGTAAAATATATTGAATTAAACGTTTTCGCTTATCTTCCGCCCGTGGCGGTGAGTTGTATGGATTCATTTTTGTGCTGAGAGTGCACAACTAGACAAGAATTAAACTTTTGCTTATGCACCTCTTAATTCCATCCAGTGCATAAGATTTAAGAAAATTAGTAAAATACTTCTTCATGAAATTTTCAAATGAAGTGCCTTCTTACATCACAATGGAAATACCCACAATCAGAGAAATCTTTTAATTTGATTCGCAACTCTAACTTTGATTCTCTCCAACAACTATTTTTATTTTTTAAGATTATTTAATCATTTTGATTAATTTGTACTATATATTAATTGACTTGTGACTCTGCAGTTAAACAGTCAACAAATTTAACACAGTTTTAATCTTATTTTTACGCGTTCTACTATTAAATTCTCAGAAAAGCTGGCTTATCGCAAAATAGGCAAGGAAACAAATTGCAATGTTATTGAATAGACACAGCAACTGGTGGAAAATTTTATTTACAACTAGATAACACATATTTTTTGCCTAATTTATTATCACTAAATGGTGCAAAATACCAACTGCTTAGAGTTTGATGACCATAACACGTAAATGTGTGTGTGGTGCAGCTGGTTTGAACACCACTTGGCCACTTTCGTCCTTGTAATCGGCATAGGCTATCGAGTATACGCACTCCATGCCCAAGGCTTCCTTCTGACGTGCCGAGTAGTAGCTGGAGCAATAGGCTATCATGAGCGGGAAGCCTTTGCTGCGACCAACTTCCATCAGAGCGGCAGCCAGACGTGAGCCCAGCCCTTTGCCACGCATTGAGGCATCCACATTGGTTATATGCGAGTAGAGGATTTTGGAAACTCCGTAACGCTTGAAGAGATTGATTTCGATTTCAATTTTGGACAAGAACACTGCAATGCGTCCCCAGGTATTTGGCTCCATGGCAGCGGCCTCCTTGCGATGCTTCTCCAAATCGCTGGGAATCTGACCACCTGCCAGGACCAAGCCCACTATGCGTCCGCCATTGTTCTCATCCACAGCCAACAGGCAGGTGCCCTGCTCTATCATGGATATGTGATACTCATCGTTTTCCTTTTCATAGCATTTCTGCACATCCTCTCCAGAAGACGCACAGAGTGGCTCTCCATTATAGAAATTGCCTCCCATAAATATCTTCACTGGCTGGTAGTCCGCCACCGTCATGATGCGGATGAGGATGCCATTCTTTGAGTCCAGTTCCGTTGGCATGTTGTTTTCCCCGTATTCACTGTAGAACTGTAACACTTTCTGCCCTGCGCATGTATTTATATTGAATTTCTTATCGTTTAACTTTATGCATGATAGGGTGCAAAACTATAGTATAGTGTATGTATAGTGTATGACAATTGCCTTGATTACGCTTTTCTCTCTTTCTCACTTATCAGCCCGAACAATATCGACACCTGAATTGGCTTCCACTTCAATATAACTCGAGTATCAAAAAGTGTACATCAAAAGTGTATATATCAATGGACTGCTAACTAATTTCAGTTGGAAACAATTTAATATAATTTTCCTGCATTTTGTTTACATTATATTATTTATATTGACAATCAATTGTCGATATCTTACAAGGTTTTCGCGTCAGCTTTGACGTATTTAAATAAAAAATTATTTTATTTGAGACTAATTATAACTGTGGTGAGTGTTATATGACTGTCTTATCTTGCGTATAAAGCTTTACAACCGCATTTCATTATTTTTATTATATTTTATTAGTTAGCTGCCTCGTTAGTTCCTATATGATTCAATTTAATATACTTTGTAATATTTTCTATACTTTGTATGATCTGCAATGTAATAAAAAGAAAAGTACGAGATACCCCTTACTACGGAAGCTAGTAAGTACTTATGAATGAACCAATATTTATGGAATCAAAGTTTATCAAAACGGAACGAGCTTTTATAAAGAATATTCGAATGGAATCAAAGTTATGTAAGATATGTTTACGTCAAACACGCAGTGGCCGTCGGTTCTGATCGTGTCGTCTGTAAATTATCAGATGTCGTTTGGATGATTACAGATTGTTAACAATTTTGAGTCAGTCGATACTAATAACTTATAAGCATCGCACGCAAGTATAATTTTGTAACGCTTTAAAGTTTAAAACTACATCTAAGCCGCATTCATGTTCTTCTAAGTTAATTCAACAATCAAAATAATAAACAGTTGTAATAAAACTACGTTATCGCTGAACATGTGCGTAATTTTTATTGAGATCTTTCTTGACATTTATCCAAATTCTAAATTTTCGACTAAAACTTTTCATAGCACCTACATAACATAGTATTAGAATCAGCCGGCTACGGCATGCTTTTTTTTATAAACAGTTTATGATGACGGAAATGTCCTCCTTAGTGCGTTAGCATTGATAACAAAAAATTCATGATTTATTGTCGGAGTATTTTGGCAATTATATGAGAGGTATGCAAAACAAGTCCATATAAGCGCTAATTATATCTTCAGGGTATGATAACTATCTAGTCATAAAAAAAAAATAAACTTGGCTAAAGAGACAAGTGACAAAAAAATAAAGAGTCTGCACATTGTTTCAGATAGTTCATAGCAAATTCTGTCTAGCCAATACTCTCATAAAACGAATGTCTGCGTATCAGACCCCATATAGATATATAATCTTGATCATGCCCGTGTATCTTCCTCTTTGAGCGCGTCAATCTCGGAAACTAAAAAAGCTGAAGTCAACAAATCTGAAAATATGTCAAACTACAGCAATCGCAGTCTCAGCTAATAACATCTATCGATATCTTTTGCTATTTTCTTAATATCGATAAATAACGATAAGGAAACATATTTTTTTTTTGGGATAAGCGTTAGATATACCAAACATTTTGTATATGTTCTCAAATTAATTAAACATAAAAAAAAAAAAAAAAAAAACGACCATGACATAAACACACTTCTCTATACAATACTTAGCCCCGAATATAAATGTGTGTGTGGTGCAGCTGGTTTGAACACCGCTTGGCCACTTTCGTTCTTGTAATCGGCATAGGCTATCGAGTATACGCACTCCATGCCCAGGGCCTTGCCTTTGGACAGAAACACATGAATATCCTCCCACGTATTTGGCTCACTGGCAGCGGCCTTCTTGCGACCGCAATCCACATCGAGCATGTGCCAGTACGTAGCCCATAATGCGCCCGCCGTTGTTCTTATCTACAGCCAACAGGCAGGTGCCCTGCTCGATCATAGAAATGTTATACTCATCTTTGAACTTTATGACCCACTCTTCTTCATAAAGTTCACCGAGCGGATCTCCTTTGAAAAAATTGCCCCCATAAGGGTCTTCAGTGGTTGGTAGTCGGCCACAGTTATGGAGCGGATGAGGATGCCATCCTTTGAGTCCAGTTCCGTTGGCATGTTGGGATTTTGGTGATCTCTTTGGAAATGCAAAAGCTTTCGACCACCAATGTTCTTTATTTGATGTATAACCCGCCCGTTTTCTTATCATTATGTATAGTATGCCTGATAGTGTGTATATGCTTATGGAGCAGATGGCGATGGTTTGATAGCTAGTTTTGATTTCAACAGCTGATAAGCTGAACGGCTGATAAGCTGAAACTCGACTCATTTTTGACTGGTAGGAAACAAAGATATTCTCGAATTTAATGTCTGTGCGGTGTTCATTCACTTTTTCTCTATTCTACACTCGCCCTCTCTGGCATTGCAAACAAAAACCAGAAATTAGAAACGCTTTAAGCAGCCACAATAACAGAGAAATAGATAGCCAAAAACACAGAACTGTTAGGTGGGTGTGAGGCTGTCTGATGGTCAGCTGGAATGCCAGCCAAATCCCAAACTGGGCAAAAACCAACATAATTTACATGTCTGCTGGATAAGTTCGACAGTGAGAAACAGAGCTGAGAGTTAAAGAGGGGGCGGCCAGACTGGACCTGGACCTGGACCAGTCTGCACAGTGTCTGTACAACCTAAACAGTCTGTTGGCCATGTTATGCCAGACTAGTTACAGTTGTTGTTGCTGCTTGTTTTTGTTGCTGTTGCAGCTGTTGTTGCATGCTGCTTCGTCGTCGTAGTCAGGTGCTTAAAGTCGAGTCTCTTCAATTTGCCGGTCGCAAGTTTATCACAAAGTTAATCAGAAATTTAGAGTTTTGCATGCAGCTGATTGAAATAAATTGTTGAAGGTTTTTAAATTAATTTTGATTAGTTGTTGCGTAGCAATTTTTTCCATTGCTCAAAATATGATATACTAAGGCCGCGGGCATGAATACCTTTAGCCGCCTCCGCGTGCAACGCCCAGCTGTGGCACACTGTTGCATACTTTTGGGTGGCATGAACGGTGCAAAAATTTCTGCTCAAATATTTGCCGAAGTGCATTTTTGATTTATGCTCGTGCAACGTGACCCAAATTTTTGCAGGTTTCGCAACTAATTAAAAGTGAAAAGTTGACAACATTCTCCAGTTAAAATTTCTATATATTTTTCACTACCCTCCACCCTCCGCACACGCTAGTTGTTTTTATAGTCCTATGATTTATGGCGCACATTTGCTGAAAAAGTTGCGACCGCAGCAGAAATAATGAAAATTCAATCAAAGTTCGCACCAGGCAACAGCAGCAGCCGCTAACGGGCGGGGGATCACGAGCGGGTGTACCATAAAACTTGCAACATATGCGCTGCTGCGGCACAGCGACCTCGAAAGCCCGCCACTTGTGTTATTGTCTTGCTGACCCTAATGAAGATTAATTTAAAACAAGTGTGGCCTGGTGCTATGCGCTGCCTTAAGATGCTGCTTCTTTTTATTTATTAAAAAAAAAAAAGAAGAGAATAAGAGAAATGAAAATTGAAAAAATAACTCTGCTCTTGATGACGCACTAACGAAGACAAGGGCGACAAACGATCCCAAATGTGACCGACTGACTAGCCCACTGATGAAGATGACAACAATGCTTTCGTGTTTGCTGTGGGCACACAGCTTCAAAGAAACAATTTAATCAAATCATTTTCAATGACTTAGATTTCTGGCGAGATATTAAAATGACAATGGAACCGATAGAATGCCACAGGAATGACCCCAGGGCTGCAAAACCAAGCAAAATGGACGTGGGCTTAGATTAAACTATATTCTAGACCCATGTGAAAATAAAAAATATATGTATATTAGAATTTGGGGCTTAAAACGGTATGGTTGAAATCCAATTGTGCTGAATACTATATCATAAAAAAAGAATTTCCAGACATCAAATTGATAAATTAAATAAAAATATATATATAAATATGGAAATATCTTAAATTATTTTTAGAATTCAATGCAACAAACTAGCTTTAAATTTGTTATGCCCCAAAAGTGCAGACATATTAAAAGACCGTTTCCAGCTAATGAGAACCTGCCCTCAACTTTGAACTTTACTCAGTGGAACTAAATATACAATTTAGATTTAGAGAATGCCACGAACAACTGCTACTTGTGCCACTTGATTTCGATGATATCGTGTAGGTAATTAATTTATTAAACCATTTTCGAATGCGACGCTGGACGCATGCACCGCGGGGGTCGAGTGCGATGCTCGCTTTCGAAATCTTTGGCTGCCTCCATTGTTTATCAGCGTATTGTAGATCTCAGCCAGGGGGTCCCGCTAATTTGTGCTAGGTTAATTAGTAAAGAAAACTCGCATCGAACAAGCCTATTGAAATCGGACAGAGAGCCAAGCTGTTGCCAGTGGATCAGAGTTGGGGTTGGACCCTCTAGCTCTGCTACGCTGCCTACACAATGTGTAACGCATTATTATAATTCCAGCTGCCTACTGACTAACTAAATTCAATTCAATTCAATTCGTTTATCTGATTTCCTTTCAAGTGGTCAGTAGCTGTGCCGACTCGCTCTTTTCAATTTTTTACTTCTTTTGCTTTTTATATGAATATTTATATATACAACAAGAAAAGAAAAATGTTGTGAGTCTGTGTGGGGCATTATTTATGTTTATTTTTTGTTTTCCTTTTTTTTTTTCAATCAACATTTTTCCAGTTTGTTTATTTACTTTGCATTTTTTAAAGATTATTTTAAAATGCTTCAAAGTGGCAAATTAATATGATATGAGAAGCGCGTTGCAAAATGTTATAAATAACATCAATATGGACTTTTACTATCTTAATTAATTCAATTCCTCTACATACTAAATGAAAAATTAAAAACTATTTCCCATGAAAAGCAGCCGAGTTACTTTAGAGCAGCATGTGGAAAATAGCTCTTGTTTAGACACTTGG